TGTGTGTGTGTGTGTGTGTGTGTGTGTGTGTGTGTGTGTGTGTGTGTTGGTTTCAGCCTCTCATTCAGTCTCTCTGTCACTGTCCACTGTCCACTGCTACAACAGTTGCACAATGATTTTGATCCACTCCAAGATTGTTAATAGATAAGACAATGGAGGTTTACCCTTTCCCTGTCTTTATACACTAACATGATGCTGGATCTCTTGGTACCACACAGCCTGGCTCTGTGCCAGGACTGTGAAAGGACTGTGAGAGGAGGGCGAGGAAGAGGAGGAGGAGGAGGAGGAAGGGAAGGAGGGATAAACTGTATGTGAGGCGAAGAACAAATCTTGGGAGTGGAAAAGTACTGCATGCGATTTTTCTGGTCTCCCTTAAGCAGGCTGTGAGCGTGCATGTGGTCAGTTGTAGCTACACTTGTGAGGACAGACTTATTACATCCTCCTAAAAAGTGACAAAGGCTGAATTTTAAAGACATACTGTGCAGGAATTGTAGCGTACTATTTGTAAACTCAACATTCAAAGTTCGCTCCTCCTCTCCCCGGCTCAACAGCACCAGAGGTGCACATCCCCCTGACCGGAGTTAACAGGGAACAGCCCAGTGTACCACCTGCAGCATCGCACACCGATTCGCTGTCACTCGCCTCCCTATACCTCCATTTTTTTTTAATGCTGTGTCCTCCATTTTCGTAGCTTCCTCTGGGATGCGTGCTTGCAAATGCGTGGGGGCTACACACCAGAAACGTCCCGAGCACAGCAAAACTAAAGGAAAAGAGAAAGTACAGGCATAGGGCTCTGCAGACACAGACGCTGCCACACACTTCTAGTGGGTTAGGATCATGGATGTTATGTTTAAAGTCACAGTATGTCCCAAGGGAATGAATGTAAGACCATACAATGTCCTTTCAAGTATTCAGTATCTCGAAAGTCAGAGTTGGACATAAGACACATCCGCACAAGTTCAGTCTGAGCTCTGGCTGCTTTTCTTTACATCTCTATATTCACAACAGTTCTTCTCAAAAGGTTACAGACACAAACCGTCCTCATACCTTCATATGCATCTACTGGCACACGTCTGATGGCTCATATCTATCTATCATGTGTTTACTCAGGTGAAGCAGCAAACTGTAGCGCTACGTCAGCAGCCCTCCAAGAAGCTAAGGAGCTGGTGAAAGTGTTTGGGAAAAGTTCCAGACTTGTTCCCAGTGCCATCTCCATACTGGACAACATTTACAACAAGCTACAGCCGCAGGTCAGCTAGGAGCTGCATGCAATCACAAGTTAACTCCGTTCCTACTGTAGTACTACACCCTTTGAATTGTCTTTTACATTGTTTGGAAGCACAGAAATACACAATATTTTTTCTACCCTGTTTCTGTCGTGTATTGTGCTTGTGTCGAGATAGCTCTTGGGGGAAATCAGATTTGAAAAAGTTGATAATGATTCCCAAAACAATAATGACTCAGACAGCAGGATGCAGATTCATATTATACACAGGTTTTTATTTGACACTGTTGGATTTTAAAGATGCGTCGCTCTGTGTGTGTGTGTGTGTGTGTGTGTGTGTGTGTGTGTAGTGGGAACCTCCTGCCTGTGATGTTGTCATGAACGATAACGATGAAGAGAAACAACCCTCATCTGCTCAGGTCTCTCACCAGGAAGTGTGGGCCCTGTTTGAGAACATCTGGTCTCATGTGTTTCAAACAAGGTGGGTGTCACAGGGATTTGACTAATGCAGTGCAGGAAGGATTATACTGTAGAGAACATTTCAGGATGATGTGTGTGTGTGTGTTTTTTTTTTTTTTACAGATTCTCACAAAAAGAAAGCCTTGATTTGTGAAGGAAAACAAGGAGAACATTTCCAAGAGCAAAAAGAACTCTTCGGAGGTTGTTTATTTAGTTTTGTATTGCATTCTGTGGGCCCCTGAGGTCATTGTGTTTCCTGTCATGTTTCAGCTTGGAAGTGTTCAAAGCTCTGGGCTTTGACCCTCATACCATGCAGAGACCTCAGCCGGTGGGAGGCCCTCCGCCACCACAGGACGCCTTGGTCTGTTTGCACAAACTGTCCTCCATGGTCTCACAGCTGCTCCAAGCCTTCAGCAGGTATGTGAGCCCACTCGTCAGACGTTCTGCTTCTCTACCTGTTGGCCACTTGCCATCTGTGTCAATTTACATGTTCAGTCTCACTTTTGTATTTTCGTGTTAAAGAGGCTATACTGTGTTTCTATATTAACTATGAATCACATCACAACTTTGTGCTCTGCAGTCCTCCCTCAGCTCTACAGAGCTTTGCAGCACCTTTCAGCTCATCGCTTTAGTTTTACAGCCTGCAGTTTCTGCTGTTTTGTTTCACTCTCGCCGCTCTCGTGGGGCTATTTTCAGCAAAAAAAGCTCTAAAAACCGACTGCAAAGTTAGCAACTAGCTGGTGAACGTAGCAGCCAAACAACCACATAGTTCACTTAGGAGATGCTGGAGTCCAAAAATAGCTAAAGAGATAGTGAATATTTAAGTTAGATTTGCTAGGTGGCCAGAAACATGATTCCAGATGAAAGATAGTGTTGCTGGATGTGTAAATATGAAGTTTTTTTATATTAACTATATTAATTAAAGGTGATCTGTGTTTGCAAAATGTAAATGGTCTAATCTCCTCCTGCTAACATAGCTGTATCCATTATGCAACATCCTCGGTGGGTTTAAAGAGCCTGAGCTCTAAAGCATGAGAATACATTGAAGTCTAGAAAGAAGTTTCTGAGCAGGAATTTGTGTGTCACCTCTCCTTTAACACCCTCCACAACTATTGTGTCAACTGCCATTGTCCCACACTTGTTCATGTGCTTTAAACCCTGAACCCTCCTCATGCCTTCACAGGTGTCTCAACAGCCAGTCCCTCTAAAAGCCCCTTTAAACTGTCCTTCACCAGCCTGCTCCTTCCTGTGTCCTGGTTGTATGCTCTCTGCTCTCTGCTCTCTGTTCACTTGACCTTGTAGCTTTGCCTTATCACCTTTACCATGACGCAACAGACAGTGCTACACTGTCGCACAGTTTAGTTTCTCACAGCTGCCTTTCGAAAAACTAAAAATGCGAACAGTTATCCCTGAGATTTCTTCACTTCCAGTAGGCTTTCCTCGTGTTTAACTGGGCCTGCAGTGGCATCTGAAAATATCTGCGCTTGCTTACATTTCACACCGATTTGCACACATCCTCCAGCTGTCAGAATGGTAATCACAAGAGTCTTTGGTTGAGTGCAATGAGAAATGTCCACCATAAAGAATTGATGCCATTGCAAAATGACGTATCAATTGGGGGCTTTTATGGGTTCTGTGCTCTTGTTCTGTCTTCTTTGATAAAATATCCATGTTGCTTGCAGTCACATCCATCAACTTGTTTGCCATTAAGTTTGCATTGCTGTCATGGCGGCTGCAAGAAGACATCCCACAGTTCAGAACTCTTTTAATACAATATAACGACGGCTGGACGTTAATAATTTAATAACTCAAGTCTGAACAATATACCTCTCCTGTTTATTATTTTTACAGTCTCTTATACACACACACACACGCACATAAAACAACCCAACATCACACAAATACAAGGTCCAGTTAAGAGTCAGTACATTATTAATTGACATTTTGGTCTCTTTGAGGGCAAAGTATCGATTGATCGCTCTGTTTCGTCCAGATGTCACTCTGAACTCCGTACTCTGTACACTTTAGGTATCCCGTACTAGCGTAGAAGACTCCGAAAATAACCTTTAAAAGAAGTTGTGTAAACATGAAATTAAAAAAATCAAATTGACACGTTGAATGAAGTTCAACTTTTGTGGTTAAAGCTGTACATCAGCCAAGACGGATCACTGCAGTTCTTACCTGCCAGACATTGCAGTTTAAATGGCTGTGCTTCTTACTTCTGCCATCCCAGTTTGTCCATGTTGACCATGAAACTCATGATACTATGTTTCCAGACTCGCTTCATTCATTGTGCTGTGTTTCAGCACTCTGCAGGGATTTGTTTAGTTATCTCTCAACCCTATGTGCTCCTCTCTGAATCAGTTTCATGTCGCTTCAAACCGGAAACATCTTACAGTACAGAACCCATTACAAATGGTGATAAGAAGGAAGAAAACAATGTTTTTAACTACATGGGGTGTTTAGATATTCATCTCTGTGATGATGGGAGCAATAAAGGAAAAATTATGCTGTGTTTTCTCCACTCAGTGGCTATAAAAGAGACAAAACAGCCCTCTCAGATCATAACCCGCTGCACTCCTAAGTATGTGTCCCAAGTGCACTTTATTACCACTTCAAGCCTCTTGGCCTCGATAGCTCCCCTGTTCAGTGTTTCTGCCAATATATGACGATATAGTGGTACTTCATTACCAGATTGTCCTATTTGTTTTGAGGTGTATGCTTTGATTTCATGGCATGTTCTTACCATGTGTGTGTGTCCCCAAAACATCACTCCGTAATATCGATAATACTTTCTTCTTTTTCATTTTCATGTGGCGCTTTAAGTGTGCAAACTAGATGATGGTGCTTGTGTTCACTCTGCACATGACAAGTTCTGCCACAACAAAGCATCCTCTTTCAAAAGCCACACTCATCTTTTGATATGTTTGAGCAGAGCTGTGACTCACTGTATTCAGACTATCTCTCTGTGCCATTTAGGTAAATCTTCTATTCCTCCTTCTTCACTCTTTTGCAGTCCCTACTTCCTCTCTTTTTGTCCGTTACTTTGTTTTAGTTTTTCCTGTGTTTGTGCGTTTGGGTTGGGTGCATGGTGATGGATGGATAATAGGGAGAGAAAACAAGTGCTGTGTGTTCATTTTGTCTTCAAGCTTCAGCTGGGAGAAACGATGATCCCTATAATATGTCATGTGTGTTTTTGTCCATCTCAGGGTCTTGTCTTCAGCCCCCGGTTTAGAGGAAGTTCAGGCACTGCTCGGCATCATCCACTCTAATGAGGTGGGTGCCATTTCACATGTTATCGGTGTAAAATCTTTGTTATCTTTGTCACGTTTAGCTCACCTCGGCCTGTTCATTGTGAGCTCAGCTCATATGCATTGTGCTTCAGATTGTTGACAGGGATTCCAGATTGACAACCAAAGACCTTCTTGATTGTTTCTCACAACAAGACTACAGGTAGGGCACACACACACATGCACACACACACGTTATAATCATCTCCTACTGTGTTCACCCCATACTTCTAACTCTCACCCTCCTCCCTTCCTCCCTATTGCTCATTCTGTTTTTCTTGGGAATCCAACTCAACCTCCACATATTGAAGTTGTTCTTCCAGAGAATTCATTCTCTTCTCTAGTGAATCTGATTGTCTGTGATTGTATTTACTGACAAATGCGGCAGATCATTCAAATCTTTCACAAATATAAACTTCTACTTGCTTAAAGTTGATCTACTCCCTTCCATATGTTTTAACATACAGGACAAGCCTAACATATGTTTTTGTCAGTTTTCTTCGGAGGATAAGCATATTTAAACCAGTGAATAGATCCAGCACCACCCACACAGTGTGATTCATCCCCTGAGCAATTCTTCTGACCCAAATGAGACGGTTTGATTCCAAATCAAACCGTCTCAAGTTCCCCGAACTCTTGTGCTCTGTGTGGAAGCATGCCCGGGCAGGTATGTGTCGTTTACCCAGCGTCACACAGCCATTCATGTGCTACAATAGTCCTCCTCAAAGACATCCCCAGCAGAGCTCTGATAACAATGGTGGGCATGTCACTCGTTATCGAAGGAGTGCTGAATAGATCTCTGTACTTTTGTAATCTGATAAACTCATATTAATCAGTCAGGATGTATCTGTTGCATGGACAAGAATGAATCCTAAGATTTACTTTTCAAGCGGCAGTGTGAACTAGAGATAAAATGCTTGGTTGACTTTATTTGAAACATGGAGATTAAACAGGACTCCCGTAAACTCTCATGAAGTTAACTTAGTGTTGCTTTACCCAGCGTGGTCTGGGTTACAGCTGTCACTTCACTAGGCTATTGTCAATGACATTATTTAACACCTGATGTTAACCTGTGGCTTACTTATCGCTATGTTTAAGAAGTAAATTCTAAGTATCTTTTGGAAGGAGGTATTTGTGTGCAGCTTGAGAAAAGAGTAACGCTGCCTGAAGGACTCCCTCATGTGACACAGGCTTAACTTTTACACCTTAAATATTAACACATACAAGTACACGGTTATCCTACTTTTCCTCTTCTATTTTGCTGCTTGTAACTTGGAACATGACACGGTTGAACATAAAGTGCACGCTACTTTTATTTTCTGGATTTGTTAAAAGCTTTCTCACTGATACCGACTGATGTTGTGTGCTGAGCTATGACATGTCTTTAAATGTTAGAGATGATATGATTTAAATGCTACTAAACTGTGTTAAACGTTTGCTGTTCTGAAATCAGTTGAACTGCAGAAAACTAATCACCAACAATTTTGATAATCAGTTGATTGTTTGATAAGAAAGATCACACATACCGGGATGTAACACTGTTACAACAGGTCCATCATAACACAGCTCTGAAGCTGCATATAAAGCTGTAGGTTGAACCCAGCAGCCTCCATGGAAACAAGCCAAGCTTCTATGTATTCAACGGATTATTTGTGTTATGTGTCATCTTCTTAATGCCTTAATGCCGGAAGCTGCTTCTGATGATTTCATTACCACATAAAAGATATTGATTTTCACTAATAGTATAAGTGATGTTACAGCTATTGATCACTTGAAAGAGAATTTTTTTAATGAGTACTGCAGTTGTTGTTATATTGATATACGTATGATTTCTAGCTCGGAATAGTGACGTCAGTATTAAAGACCACATCTGCTGCGTCACTCAGCGGCCCCGTCAGTGCAGCTGTGGTTGCGGCAGGGCGCCGCTGACAGATACAGTTCAGCTGAATGTGCGCTGATTGTAAATATTTGATTTGGTACATTCACTGTGAAGTGATGAGGGCCTTTACTTAGTGAGCGCATTATCAGTAGTGTTAAATATTTGATTTCGGTGCTCCGTGCGGCGGTATGATGTCATCGGTTATATAAACCCTGGGGGGGAGCGTGTTCGGGCACCGGCAGACAGCTTTCAGTAAGAGTGGGCCTCAACAGCGGATAAGCTTTTAGAAAAAGCTGTTCTGTGTTGCTTATTATTCTCGATAAACGTCTGTTGGCTTTAAAAAAAACACATGAATCAAAAAGTAACAACTGCACATATTTATTTATAAAACCACAGGTACAGAAACACCAGTTATTCAACAATCGGTAAAGAACAAGTACACTTAAAAAATCTCAGATTGTTTATCGGAGTCTTTTGGAATGTGTGTGCAACTAGCTACATGCTACATGCAGGAGAAGCTTATTGTGTGTGTATGGTCCACTCTTAAATGATTTGCAATACAGTGGAGAAAGACATGCATGAACATGTGTTCACATCAGCCCATTTTCTGAAGGCCACGTCCATTTCACAGTTTTTGTAGGAGAGCGGGTGTGAATTGAACAAAACGAAACCTATTTGCTGCGTCAGCCGTCTGCTAGAATAAATTTAAGTCCAAGACCCGTTTGAATATACGCAGCATGTCTTTCCACTGTACCTGCCCAGTGTTCTGTGCACGTGTGTGCCGCTGGTTAGTGGAACAGTGATTGTGAGACTGTTGGTTTTGCGACACCGCGGCTCTTTTCACCCGGTGGACGTGTCATCGGGGTTTGAATACAGCTTCACTGCCGGTTATCGCGGCTGATGAGGTGAGAACAAATACCTCACCGCTCTCTTACATTGTGTGCATGTGAAGTCCAGCCTGCGTGTTTCATTTGCATATCATATCACCAGCTCTTCATCCATTACCCTTTCAGCATTATCGTTTATCATAATATTTACACATACGTTTTTTATGTAACTCAGTCAAACAGAATGAGCAGGGGCAAACACCGACTGCTGTTTCATAAAACTACCCAACCAGAGAAAAGCCGAAAGCCTTAATTCATTTAGTGATATTTGTTATTCAAAAGCTACACTGAAGAGAAGCTGCTTTGTGTTTGATGAGACAGATCATTCACAAGCTGTAGAAATAGAGGAGAAGACGTATAGAAGCATTTGTTAGGTTTTTAAGAACAAAGGATGAAGGAGCCTGCAGGCCGCAGGTACTCTTCTGCTGCGAGCTTCTTACTGCGCACGCGCAGCAGAACAATTAGCTGGATCCGGTTCAAAATTAAAAACAATATTTAATGTACTACACAAAGTTCACTTACAAACTGAATTAACTATCAATAGTAATGTTCTCGAGAGCAGAGACCACATACACGCATCTCCTCACAGTCCGGCGCGGCCAGTTAGCTGAAAATGAGAGCTGCAGTGATCTGAGGAATGCTCTCTCGAACGTTGTCTTTTATATCCCCTGACAGTCGGAAAGTGTCCGAACTGTCCTAAAACGTGTGAATGATCCTCCGTGGCGATTAGTGATTGGCTTCATTTGAATTCTGTCCCCTCCCATTATCGATCCTTTAGCAAAACAGCTTGGCTCCTCGCAAAACATCTTGACTCCACCTTTCTGTCTTGGTCAGCTTGGCATTTGACCGTCCCACTGGCCCCATCCTCCATCGATGAGGTCGCCTCCATTTGCTGCTGCATGTCTGTGTAGCCTCACTTAGAATCCCTATCTGCCCCTCAAGACTTACAGTGTTTTAATACCTACAGTGACTATACTTCTATGATTTAATACATTCAATGAGTTAATATACTGTAACATATAATATCCTCTATAAGTGAGGATATTATAAACATAATACATTCCATATGGAAACATATTGTGACCAACATATTTATTATTGTGACACTTCTACTCACCACTAGGGGTGTTATTTAATCCTACTAATAATGCGTTTAATACTGAAATTCTCCACACATTCATTTCATCCTCTACTCCATATCAGAACTCAACGATTTCATCACTTCTGATTGGACTGCACCGAGTCTTATTAGGTCAAACGTTTCATAAGCAGACGCAGTGCCACCGTATTATCATTAACCGGCATTCCTTCATAAGCCTTTCTGTGAGTCGCACCCGTACGGTCAACGTTGTTGCTTTCAAATGAAAGTCGAATGGAAACAAGCCTCGGCTTTACCATATAATCAAAATGTGCAACAAGATTTCAACACAAAAGCCATCGCAGCATAATTGCTTATAGACGCAAACACTGTTCAAACCATTATGAAGAGAAAATCTCAAAGCATGTGCAATGAGTCCAACCAAATGTACAAAAAATGGACCTAATTATCATTTAAATGTTTTATAGGTGACCCTCCGACACATTTTCGCCTACTATTCTTACTCTCTTTCTTCCGATATTGAGCAGTATTGAGAGTATCCATAGCAGCTTAACACGATTGGCTCGAGGAGAAACAGTCATCTCGATGTATCATATGGTTCTATAATATTTCAGTGCAAATCGTTATTGTCTCCTGGGGATGTCCATGAATTACCTATCCAACACACATACAGGCCGTTATGTAACGCACAGCAGCACCACAGCGCTGCCTCTTTGTGTACACGTCGCCGCTCTGGCTCACTGACTCTGTGCACACTTCATGTGCATCACTGAGTTCAGAGATCCTTCCTGGTGGAGCTTGATGCTCTTCCCTGGTTCGTTCTAACAAAGTAAACCCATTGACAGGAAGCCTTTCACACGGAGCACGCTGGTACGTAAACACCAGATCATTTGTGACGGGCCGACACATTCGTGGGTCTAGATCCAGCTAAAGTCTGTGATTTCCACAGCTTATGAGAACACACAGCTGCACCACGGGATGAAGAAAGGGAGCTGGATTGATGGATGTAGGGTGAAAACAGCCATCAAATGCTGCTCTTTCTTTGGTCCGTCCCTCCGCCCTGAAGTTACATAACGTTCCAATGGAAACAAAGCCGAGGAGGAAACAAACAAGCAACAAGCTCCTTCCGTGGCTCCGCTGCTAGGCAGCTGTTGCCAAGACTCCAGCAGAACAATCCGTATATGTGTTTGTGCTCACGGTGACGACCATTCATGTGTTTTTGTCTGTGCGTTTGTAACTGCTTGGACGTATGAGGTGTTGTAACCGGGTATAAATCTACTTCAGCGGGAGAGAAGTGTCCCCAAATAGCCACCATGGAGACCCGGAGCTTCTAGGAGCTGCAGCCGACACAGAAGCTCTTTTGTCTGCTGTGGACATTGTGTGCTGAACACGATCAGTGTGGAGTTATCCAGGTTCATCCAGAGAGTACGAAGGGACGTCGTACAATCATTCACTGGACAATTCAATGGGATGTTAAAAAAACAACACATACTAACTCAACCAACAGGCTTTGGCTTTTACTAAAACCCCAAATAGAGATGCAGCGAGACATGTTCACATCTGTACACTGGTGAAAACAAACAGATGCATGACGACATACTGCAGAAGAGCAAATGCATCAAGTCAGGATTCAGCAGCAACAAACACTTCTTTCAGGACAACACTGGAGGATTGTTTTAATAGTCACCATTAAATGAGCAACAAAGGTTTGAGTTTTGAGGGCAAGAAAGGTGCTTAGTTATTGTTTATTTAGAGTTTGATACTTCATTGTGACTGTGTGTCACCAGATTTAGATTATATTGGTGCATAAAAGCAGGTGAAACACAATGAACCCCAGCAAAAGACAAACACAGAGGTCCAACTCTGGCAGAGATGTTTGTGTTCATGTAGGACGTGGTGGCTTTTAGAAACAGGAAGGCTCACCATTTGTCAAGCACACACACACACACACACAGCACACTGTCCTGTCTCTGTGTGTAACTCATCTCTTTGCTTGTGTTCCCAGGGAGAAGCTGAGAGTGGGAGGGAACCAGTTAATGGGGCTTAAAGAGGCCCTGGACTGTTGTATTGGGAGCACGGATCAACACCTCACCACCACATCAGCGCCCTGATTGGATCGCAATCTGGGAGTCTGCAGCCAAACTCAAATCCTTTACTTGAATTAAAGACTGTTATTTTGAAGGGATGTCTCTGGTGACTGGAGCTATTTACCTTTTTTTTTAATTATTGTATAAAAAAAAAACCACATTGTTGTTCTGGTTGCCTGATGAATGGATGTCTTTCTCCATCATTGTAAGAGGCAATACATTTGTTTTCCACTGCAGTATTGCTTTCCATGTCCTCCAATAATCTGTCAGACACAACATATCCTGCCAAATCACAGCTGAGCAGGGATTTCTCCTTTCAGTCTTTCAACATTTAAACATTGTTTTATAATGTTAAAAGTTATTAGTTAAATAGTGCTGGCTTTTATTATTATTTAAACAACGATATTTGCTTTTGAAACATTGTTTAACAGTCTGCATCAATAGAATTTGAGATATATATGTATTTTGATATTTTTGGACCATGTGAATGTGTGATGATGCAACAATGTCTGAAGTTCTAGGTTTACCCCTCGGCCCACTGTTCCCGTTATTTATGATTGTTCAACTTCAGCGTGGGCTCAAAGGAAGAATACCACATTTAGGTAACTCCACTTCTTTGCTTTGACATTATCCAAACATTGGAAGTTCTCTGTGTACTTCCTGTTTAACCAAACAGTCACAAGCAATACTTTAGACTTGACAGAACTAACTGCAAGTGTAGCAAAATGATAAAACAAATCAATCGATCCTGTTGGAGAGTAAGCAAGACTATCCTTTGAGCTTCTTCTTTTTGAAAGACCAAAATATTGCCCAACAGCCTCAGTGAGAAGCTGACACCGAATGGTTATTTGGTTATTATAAGCTGTTGGTGAGGTTGTTACACATAATCACAGATGAGGAACACGGCTTTAATAGAGACTAGATTGAAAAGCAGTGAGTTTTCAGCTTTTGCTAGTTTTGGTTGATTTTTAAATAGAAATGCAAATAATTGGAGAACACAAAATATATTTTATGTGAAGGAGTTAAATGTTTTGAAGTTTTGTCTTATCGATTTCTTTTTCTTGTATGCATCGTCTGCTTCTGTTGATCTTCGAGTAGAAATGATTTTATCCTCAGTAACGGTAATTACAGTCGGTTCATCTTGTGTAGCTGCTTTCCTTGTGTTTCCTGCAGTTTGTAGGAGAGGCTCACCATTATTATTATTAGTATTATAGGATGTGTGCTGTGATCAATAGCCTGAGTGTGAATGCATGTGGCCGCATGTGTGTGCATGAAGATTAAGGGGATTACAACACAGGTGATGCCAGCAAACGGACTGAGATCACACACACACACACACACACACACACACACAGAGGCTAAAGCATCAGACGTCACACAGGTGAAGAGAGTACAGGGGAGAGGACAGGAAACGAGGGCCAAGGATGATCTGAAGTCAGTGAACTTCCCGCTTCATTAAATCATTGCAGAACGCAGACAGCTGACATTGAACGTTTTTGTTTTGTGTGCTTTGAATTTTAAATCTCACTTTGAGTGAAAAGGGACCATGTCTCATTAGATACTGTATTATCAAGAGCCTGGCTTTTATTTAGGATTGTTGATGTGATGGAATTTTTACATTTATTTCCAGAGGAACAACCACCGGTTTTATTTCCTCTTAAAGTTTTAGTTTTGCCAAAAATCACTAATATTGTTTCTAATCTATTTGCATGCTTAGTTGCCTCTACATTTCAACAATAGATTTTGCCTTTTTTTTTTTTTTTTTTTTTTAAACCAAGCACTTCATTCAGTCTGTTCTTTTCAAGGATTGTATGAATCCAAAGCCAAGAGGAAGTCAGCAAAGCTTGTTCCCAATTAACTGAAAGGGAGAATGGGGGCTGGACATTAGTCTACATAGTTCATTGCCTCGCCACATCTAAGAGGGCCGACTGATCAGAGTCCAAGTATTTAGTCCCTGCTTCCTGTAGCACATGGCCCATCTGCTGTGACTGTCCGGTGTATCAGCAGGTTATCAGAGGCAACCTTGTGAACGAGTGCAGGGTTAGGGATTTCATAAAGCGCCTGACGTGCAGCCGGTCCCCTCAGCACTACTGCAGCCCAGAGTGTCGGCGTGCCTTCCTGCTGAGCTCCGTTAGCCGGTTTAGTATAATCTCTCCTAAAAGACACTTAGAGGAGCAGAAAAAAAACAAACCCAACATGGCTTAGTGTGGTAGACCCTGAGGAAAATGGTGGCACTGAAACCTTAGACAGCAGTGACCAGGAGACGGCAATTACTTGGCAGAACACGAGGTAGACGAAGTGGCAGTAAAAGCTAAATTTAGGGACGGCAAATCAGCTGTTGGAAACTTAGTCAAGGCTTGAAGCACCAGCTGCTGATCAACTACTTCAAAATGCTGACGCCTATAATACAATCACAACCAGACACATCTTCAATGTTAACTAGTAGTGCCCTGGCAAGTTGCTGCCCTGGCAAGTTGCTGCCCACCATCACTTAATGACATTTAGAAAGTAGGCTGGAGACAAAGATCTGATTTAAATGATTTATTCATTAAGAAATGTTACAAATGTGATAATTTCTTGTTCTAACATTCCTTCCAGATGAATCTGCCAATGCCTGACACTTTAAACACAAAATGGAGAAAAAAAAAAAAAAAAAGGATCTTCAGTAAACTGCATCTCTACATACATCAATTAGTTAAATCACAATAACAAAAGTGTGGTTAGCAGAAGCATGGTTGTGCGTGTGTGGTGTGTGCACAAAAACTACTGGCACTGGTTAGATTCATTGACTTTAAGCTGTCTGCTACTACTCTTACTTTATCGGTAAATCAGCAGTGTATAAAAAAATATAAAAAAGGCCGTCATTTAAGATTCAAAAAGCAATCCAGCTTGTTTAAAATGACACAAAAAGCCATGAGGTGTTTATCAACTCACACTCTGAGTAAGGCTTCAAACCACTGACCTGTAAATATGTGAGAGAGAACAGAAATATTCTTAAATAAAACTTTTTAACTTTCAAAAGTTAATCGTCACCACTCCATACTGCCACATTCCAAGTGACCAATAACTGCTAGCTCATCTGAAAAACGCTGAAAGAGACAAAAACGGTTCAATTCTAAGAAAAGAAAAGCACTAAATGTGTATTAAATGTTGGCATAGGACAAGAATGAGGAAGAAACAAAGTATATACACAGCACGAAAAACATTGTATGCAATATGCAAAGGCGTCATGTTGCTTTGGGCAATAACCCCCCCCCCCCAAATATAAGCCAGTCTTCACTGAAGACCCCTCATCCCAACCCCCCTCCCCCCCCCGCTCATACTCACAACGTCACGAAACACGATTACATCACTAAGCCTGTTAGTTAGGGAAAAGGTGTAGCACTGTGAAACTCCCCCTCCTCCTCAGTCGGAGAGTGGAGACAGGGCCTTGGTGCAGTCGCTCCACTCGTCCGTCTCGGCGCTGTACACCTCCATCGTGTTGAGGAACTCGTTTCCATCGAAGCCGCCCACGGCGTAGATGCTTTCTCCCAGCATGGCCACACCCGCGTTGCTGCGGGAAGACGTCATGCTACCCAGCATCCTCCACTCATTGCGGGCGGGGTCGTACACCTCCACACAGCGGAGCGCATGGGAGCCATCGAAGCCGCCGACAACAAACAGTTTGCCTGAACAAGAGTGACAGATATTAGTCGACTACTGAATCACCCAGGTTTAAATGCCTGACACTTAGTTTGCGCAACATGAGGGTCTCGTACGATGTCACGCTAAAGACGCTGCCGGCTGATTACGCTGTTCACACCCCGTGGGCTTACCTGCGTCGACAGCGACGGCGGCCCCCCTGCGAGCCACGTTCATGGGGGCTATCAGGGTCCAGGTGTTGTTCTCGGGGTTGTAGCGTTCCACAGTGTTCAGGCAGTTCCACGACTCCGCCCCTCCGATCACATACATGAAGCCATCCAATTCACACACCGCTGCCTGGTGCCTCCCTGGAAACAAATGTACTTGATGAATGCAACTTTCAAATGTCCCCTCAGGCTGCAAATATAACAAGAGCACGAGCTGTTCTCTGATGGATTCAAATCCTACTTTTGGTCTCATTAATAAAACATAACGTTCCCTCGGCTGCGAATTTTGCAGAGGGAATAATTAAAACCTGATATGAAAGACAGACATTTGTGAGCATGCTGAAAATAGATTCCATTAGCGTTATGGTTAGACCGTGTTATACGCATCAAACGGAAGGTTTCGAGTGTGTGCGAGACTGTGTGGACACGTACTGATGTTGAGGGAGGCGCAGTTGGACCAGGTTTTCATCACAGGGTCAAAAGCATCACAGTTCTTCAAGCCCTTCTGCCCGCAGGGGTCCGACCCTCCCACAACGTAGAGTTTGTTGTTCAATGAGCAGACGCCTTTAGACAGAGAGGACAGGAATGAAGCCTGAAGTCAGTAACAGAGAGCCTACTTTATTGAAGCGTTTTCCTGGAAAACATCAATCACATTCACTAATCTCTTTGTAAATCCTTGCAGGAGAGACTCGCCTGCATTGCAGCGGTTGGTCCTCAGCTCTGGCACTTGAGCCCATTCATCGGCGTGTGGATCGTACGTCTCCCCGCAGCTCAGCTCGTCAGAATGTCCGTTTGACCCTCCGATCACGTACAGCTGACCCTGCGAGGTGCAAAGGAACTAGTCATTAGATGACGGTACATACACGTGGCACTAAGAACACTTGCATGTACATTTTAGCCGCCTTATATACTTGGAAGTACAAGGACATTAAGTTAACAGAATTTAGAAAGCCAACTATTTGGACAGGGTTGTAGGGAAGCATTCAAGTATTTGCACAAAACAATCGAAACTTGTTTAAACATTGGATACGTGCACTCCTACGATAATGTTCAAAATGTCACTTCACTGTAGAGTCAATAAATCTGAGATTGTGACGAATAGTAAACTGTACCATGAGCACAGCCATCTGAAATCGAGCCCTTGGAGTCCGCATGGGAGCAATGAAGGTCCAGCGGTCCTCTTTGGGGTCGTAGCACTCCACAGTCCTCAGACACTCCTCTCTGTTGTAGCCTCCTGCAGGCACACCAGGATGCATCAAGCTCACAGTTGAGCTCGGTGGTCTGACTTTTTCCCCTCACACTAGTTTCATATGCATAATCCCTATATTTCTCTACTCCAACCGTCCGACCGTGTTGAGTGCTAACCTGCTGCAATGACTCTTCCGTTCAGGGCCGCGGTGCCCAGGCCAGAGCGAGCGTAATGCATGGGGGAGAGCGGCTGCTCCTCCAGCTCCTCAGGCTGGGCCTCGAAGCTGAGGCTCTTCATCAGGCAGGGGGTGGCGGAGGGGGAGGTCTGGGGGCTGCTGCGACCGTGCAAGAAGATCACACACAACACACCGTCCAGCACAGCCAGACACAGGTGAGTGTTGTCTAGAAGTAAGATTGGAGATTGTTTGAGCCACTGGGACAAATGTTGCAGTGTGTACTGTGACAAATCCCATGTAGTTCATGCACACACTTACTTGTGGTCTTCTCAGAGGCGATGTACTTCCACTCTCTCCTGCCGGGCGGTTTTGGGGCATTTGCTGCTTGGCTGGAGGGCGACAGGCTTCCTGAGGAGCTGCAGCTCATCTGTCTCTGGGTGCTCTCCCGTACGGGTTTCTTCTGCAAGAGCACAGTGCAGCTACAGAAGCCAAGCTTGCACCACAGGCCCACCAGTGGCCACAACAACCAGGTAATCATACCCCGACCTACGCTTTGATCCAGCTGTTCTAATGTGGACGTTTGCATTGAGACATCTGAAGCCAACAACTCCACACGACAAACAACCGTCTCAGACCACGCTACAATCAGAGCTAACGGCACACAGTTCAGGCACAAATCTAAATAGAGGGCAAACAGCCGAGACAGACATTATTGCCCACCCACAACTGGTTGAGAGTAGCTTAAAATTAAAAGTGGGGTTTTAATATATGCTCAACAGCAAAGCCAGGCAGACGGCACAGCTACTGACATTAGCCTTTACACTGTTGCTAAACTGTGGTATCAAATGAGCCGTATCTACTTCTCGCCAGGCACAGGCTGTGTAGTATTTGTATGCATGGGCAGGCACAAGCTGTACAATAAAAGCTACACACCACCAGGCAAAACATGTAGTAGAGACTTCGTTACAGTGAAGCCGGGCACAAGCTGTTGAGTACCTGCACAAGCTGAAGGTGGTCCTCCTCGCCACCAAACACCTCACTGTGCCCATCAATCACCAGCCCTCCATCCACCAGCTTATGGTCAGGTGAGTAGTACAGCGTTTGCACCTGAAAGACAAACAGGAAACAACACACCCATGTGGCTGTCTCCATGGCAACACACTGAGAACCCCAGCAAAAAAGGGGGAGAGGAGGGAGGAGGAAGAAGAAGAGGGGGCAGTGCTGTGAAGAGGAAGAGGGGGGGGGGAGGGGGGACAAAGGTCTGGATCTTCAGTCGCTTGCATGGAAAGCTTCCTTTAAAAAGACAGCTGCTGCCACCGCATAGAGTGGGTTAAAGTGTGTGAGAGCTCAAGGAGGTGTCCGACAGGCTTTCCTTAATTTGCATCTTAAAAAAAAAAAGAAAAAAAAAAAAAGGGAGGGAGCTGGTGAAGAATGAAAGGCTGCATCTGGAAAGATCCTCAGTGAAGAATGAAGAAGAGGAGTCTTTCCACCTCTGCTGCTCGGACAACCAGTCCTCTAGCTGAACAACTTGGGTCATTGAGAGGGCGGCCACAACGGGCAGTCAAATCCAGACGACTATTGACATTCTAGCACCGATTAAGCTCATCTTAAACATTACCCATTCATCGATTAAATGCAAGGAGTAAGAGCAAACCACATGTGTTCTGTTGACGCCGGACAAATTGATATAATGAGTGTTGAAGTTATTCGGTTGCCCATCTGAAGGGCACGTTAGAGAAAGAAAAGAAAAAGCAATTGCCCAATTCGAGCGGTTCTTGAATATGTCTGTGGATAAGTAGGCCTGTCTGAGAATATCTTGTTATGTGCAGTAAAGGGGCCTTCAATTAGATGTTTATAATGATTCAGGTCTGTGAGCAATGTATTCTGGTGAATGCAGAAATGGGATGCGTCTGTAGATATGTGGCATGGACAGATGGGAGCACAGTGTTGCTTGGCTGCAAAGAGAGGCTGCCGAGAGGCAGCAGTGCTCCTCTCCTCTCTCTTTCTCTCTGACTCATTACCCTGGTGCCTCAGTCCTGGTTCTTCAGTCTGGTCTCCTGCTGCTGCTAATAAACCTACAGGAGAGATAAATCAACGGGGAGGAGTGTCTGTTAGTGCTGGAGCAACAAACACCAACCTGTTCAGATAGTAAAGTGGCAGTGAGACAGCAGAATCAAGGGTCACACCTTTGAGAACCTGTGTTGTTTTTGTGTTTCAGAGGAGAAGAGCACTGTAATACTCAAATGGGGTTGCATGTAAACCAACCACAGACCCAAAAGAGAACAGTGGAAACAAAAAAAAAACAAGAGCAGACCGGCTCTTTTTTCGGCTCACCTCTAACTTGTAGTATGGTTCAGGGGTACAGAGATTCTTACTGCAAAAACCTCAACAAACCAGAGGAAAAAAAGAACAATCCTGACATAGCAGCATGACAATGGCATGCCATCTCTACTACAGCCCCCTTAATGACTTCTTAACGTCAACAACAGGAGTCAGAGGGAGGGGAAGGGGCAGGGTAGGAGAGAAGAAGAGTCCGTTTAGACTGCACGCCCTGGTACTGACCTCCTCCATCAGGCGTTCCAGTTGGTCTCCGTTCTCCCAAAGGCTACGCTGCACCCAGCTGAGCACCTTGGAG